GATCGAATCCGATGGGGATTGCCTACGTATCATGACGCCGCATGAATCAGATCATTGCGTAGTTCAGGAAGATTGAGAATGGAGTAAATAAGCTAGCTCTTCTTTTTTTTTTTGGAACTCAGTCATTTTTTGATTTCGTGTTTTTTTGAATTTTTGAAGGAAAAGCTTAATAGGAAGAAAAAAAATATTTTTGGATTTTTGGTTATGTTTTTCTGAATTTATGGGGGAAAGATTTCTAATGAACGGAATTTTTTTTTTTTGGATTTTGATTGATTTTTTTTGAATGCAAGACTTCTAAAAGTTCTTTTTATTTTGTTTTGAACTTTGGGAATTTCAAAAGTAAAAAGAAAATATTTTTTGTTGAATTTTCATTTGTTTTGTCTTTTTTTTAGAATGAGGAAAATATTTTTGGATATTAAATGTTGCCTCTAAATTTTCGAAAGATGGTCTTTAAAGAAAGACTTCTAAGGAAGATAAAGAATACTTTTTTGGATTTTGATTTTTTGATTTATTCTCTTTTTTTTTAATTTCTTTTTCGTATGAAAGACTTCGGAAAGAAGGAAAATGTTTTTTGAGTTTTAATATCTTATTTTTTGGAATTTTCTAAGGAAATGCTTCGAAAGAATAAATTAAAGGAAAATATTTTTGGATTTGTAAAAATTGGGGCCGGAACCAATGAGGTTTGCCTATGTATCTCACATCCGGTGAGAATCAGACCCGCGTAGTTCGGTTAGTTTTGACGTAACAGGAAAGCCTGACTTATTTTGAAATGACCTTTTTTTTCTTCAAAATTTCGAAAGAGTTTCAGGATATTTTGAACACCAGGTTTTTTCAGAAACGTATGATTTTCTCTCTTTTACCTCAATTTTTTATTTTTGCAAATATACCACTAGGCAGGCTGCCTAGTGACTAATATATAAATATAATCCCAAAATGGGTCCAAAGGTTACATGATGTCCAAGCCAAAGTAGAAGTTGCACGAAGTTACTAGCTACTAAAAAGATAGAGAAGCTAAAGTCTAACGAACTAGCTATTATAACATTATCCGCTGAACGCTTCCTGCTCCTGTCAGTGTATGTGAATCCAATTGCCAGTGGCAAATACCAAGCAACATCTATCAAGCTCTCACCAGGCGCCAGTGTATCCAGTCCTTAGGCTAGAAAGAATTCCAAACATCTCCTCCACAGAATTGAAGCCAACATAGTCTTCCAATCATTAGTGTTGCTACAATATGATTTCCATGTGTAGTGTACTGATTGTATCAAAGTGTAAATCATGTGGTTGATCCTTAATATTATCATATAAAAAGCATGGCTACACCTGTCTTGAGGCTGGCTTTATGCAGGCTTTTCAAGGCAAAAGACAGGCTGGGGCTGGCTTTAAGCAGGCTTTTCAAGGCAAAAGTCAGGCTACGGTTGGCTTTAAGCAGGCTTTTCAAGGCAAAAGCCAGGCTGGGGCTGGCTTTAAGCAGTCTTTCAAGGCAAAAGCCAAGCTTTTCCTTAACATTTGAACATATCAGAAGTAGAATAAAATGCACCACCCAATACCTGCTTATCACATTGGTCCTGTACACTATCAAAGCACCCCCAGAATGAGCATGTGACCATGCTAATACTACTGGAAAGTACCTTAATAGCATACAGAACGAGACATAAAAACAACAAGCAGGTATGGGCAGATTCCAATCCTGTGAAGCCATCAGTCTGGGGCTCTTCTTTTTCCTATTCTAACCCTAAGGTTAGGAGTTTGAGACTTGTCTAAGTTAATCAACCTCCTCCCTGCACTAGGCAGTTCAGAGAATGAGTGAAACTCAGTTGTACCTGCAAAAGAGAAAACAATGTTTGCTATAAAATCCGCCACTGAGTTGCCTTCGCTGAACACATGTTGAAAGATCACATTGAAGTTGCCCTTCATCTCTCTAATTTTCTTCACATCATTTGAAATTACCCAAGGAGGATCCCATTCCCATTCTATCACTTTCTTCATCACTAATGAATCAGTCTCCAATATGAGAAGATGAAGATCATGCTCCACACAGTATTCCAATCCTTGAAGAATAGCCTTAGCTTCAGCCACCACATTAGTTGTCACTCCCAGGTCTACTGCCCTTGCATACACCACATCACCTTCATCATTCCTCACACAAAAGCCTAATGAGCTAGGACCAGGATGTCCTTTTGAGGCTCCATCAATATTGCATTTGTACCAACCATCAAAAGGAAGCTGCCATGTCACTCTTGTAGTGATCAATAAAGGTTTATATCCTTCAAAATATTGCATTATGTCTAGCCATAACAATGGAATATTAAGCATCCAAGCATACCTCACCCTTGCCAATTGATGAAATGTCCTATTGATCTCATGAATAACCCTATTTGTCGACACTGAACCCCCATGTTTACCTGCATTTCTTTTCTTCCAGTGTTCCCAAGTGATGATAGCCGGTACTGCTTGAAACAATGGCTTTAGCTTTGGACAACATTGAGCATACCACCAATGCCTTATAACCTGCTTCAATTGAATCAATGGCATAGTAATTCCAACAGCCTCCATGAACAATTTCCATACTTTAGAGGCAGTAGGACTTGTGATAAATATATGCTCAATAGATTCCTCTTGGGGCTGCCGACAACACCAACACCTAGACATCACCATCTGCCCTTTCCTCCTCCATATGTCATCAGAGGATATTTTCTTCCTCCACAATCTCCACAAGAAGAAGGATATCTTAAATAATAAGCCTAATCCACATTAACTTGAATTCCTCATTAGGATCAGCTCTATGCCTTAATATTTGCCAAGCACTGCTAACACTGAACTTGCCTGAAGGAGTTGGCATCCAGTATGGCCTATCCCAGTATTCCTCACTACCTTTATAATGTACATTTAGCCTTATATGTTCTGCAATTTCCTCATTGAAGGTTTGATCTAGCAGCTGATCATCCCATGTTTCACCTTGCCGTAATTCTGCCACATCCTGAAGATCTTCATTGATTGAAAAGTCTTCAGGTAATACATGAAAAAGTGCACCCAATCCAGTCCAATTTTCACGCCAAAATTAGTTGTTCCACTCTTCAATTCCCATAGAATCTCATTCAACATTTTTCTCCAAACATTAGACCCCCTTCTAAACTGCACCACCGTTGGTATCTCCTTCTTGCAATACTTATTCCACATGAAATTAGACCATAAAGATTTTGTGGTCCTAAACCTCCACCATAGTTTACCAAACAATGCCCTCGACACATAATGTAAGGACCGAAAACCTAGCCCCCCTTCCTCTTTAGGAAGGCAAAGATTTTGCCATGAGGCCCAATGTCTGCTTCCCTTCTTCCTTTGTGCTCCAAAAGAATCTAGCAAAAAACTTATGAAGATGCTCCTGGACATTTTTTGGTGGATGCATGACTGATAACATGTGGACTGGCATACTTTTCAACACACTAGTAATGAGTGTTGCCTTTCCTCCAAATGACAGCAACTTTCCTTTCCATGAATGCAATATAGCCTTTACTTTATTGATAAGATCTTCATAATATTACTTCATCTTTTTAGTGTAGAAAACAGGACATCCTAGATATGTGAAGGGGAATTTACCTTTTGCAAATCCTGTAATAGCTCCAACCGCCTGACACAATCCATTAGAATTCCTTGAATACATGTAGTATGAACTCTTATCTTTGTTGATCATCTGGCCTGATATCTTCTCATGGTTACCCAACACTTCCATAATCTTACTCAAGGATGGAGGATAAGTAGAAGCAAAGATTATAGTATCATCATCATATGCCAAGTGGTTTAAAGGATCAGACCACTTAGGCATTCCAAATCCCACAAATGACCTGTCTTCAAATAGTTTATTCAACGACCTGGAAAGTACCTCAGCTGACAGAATGAACAATGCTGGTAATAGAGGATCCCCTTGCTTCACACCCTTTTAGACTTGGAGAAACCTGAGGACTGCCCATTCACCAATACTGAATACCAGTTATTTGACATCAAGTTCCACACCATGTTGATGAAGTGCTCAGAAAATCCCATCTTCCTTAGTACATGCAATAAGTACTTCCATGAAACCCTATCATATGCCTTAGCCATATCAAGCTTGATCACCACATTAGCTGGCTTCCCCCTTAACCTTATGTCAGTGACAATTTTTTGAGTCAATAAGATGTTCTCAAATATACTCCTACCCTTCACAAATCCGGATTGATTAGGAGATATTAGAGAAGGCAGAAAATTTTCCAATCTATCATGTGACACTCTAGACAAGACCTTGTTAATGATGTTGCTCAAGCTAATAGGTCTTAAGTCAGAAAAGGTCTCAACTCTAGGATTCTTAGGTAGCAACACTAGATTGGTGTGAGTGATGGATTTAGCAGTGCAGCTCTTCCATAGAAGTGTAGCACCATGTTGTGTATATTAGCAACAATAACATCCCAACATGTTTGATAAAATAGGCCAGTGAATCCATCTGGACCAGTAGCACTCTCCCCACTAAGCTCAAAAATTGTTGTCCTTACCTCTTTAATTGTTGGTAATCTGCTAAGTTCCAAATTCTGTTCCATAGTGACAATCGAAGGTACATTATTGAGCACGGAAAAGTCAGATGCATCACCTTCATTTGTGAACTGTTCATGATAAAAGTCCACTGCAGCTGTAGCCAATTGCTCCTGGTCTTCAATCCATACCCCACTTCCACTTTTGATCCTCTTCGGTTGCAATTTCTTTCTTTTGCCATTGACATGATTGTGAAACAAACTTGTATTCCTATCTCCTTCAGCAAACCAAGTCATCCTAGCTTTTTGCTTCCAACACTGCTTCTTAATACTCAAGTATTTCTTCAATTCAGATTGAGCCTTTTGAAGCACAATCCTGTTCTCAATTGTAGGCTCTTCTTCAAACAACATCTCTTTCACCCTAACAATGTCCTCAAAAATAGCCAATTGGTTGAATATATCACCAAATGTTTCCCTGCTCCATTTTGACAGTGCTGCCTTTACCCTCTTGAGCTTCTGCTTGAACATCAAAAACGGATGCCTAGGAAATCAGCTTCCCAGTTCTACCTCACCATATCCATAAATGTAGTATGTTTAGTCCAAAATTTCAAACCTGAAAGGCTTGACAAAATTGGTGGTCTGCTCCCCACATGTCATTAACAAATGTGCATGATCTGATCCAGTTCTGATTAGATGTTCAACTTCAATAGTTGGCAGCATGCTCTGAAATGGAAAATTCACAAAGATCCTATCCAATCTTTTGAATATACATGCAGCATTGGATCTCCCATTCCACCATGTAAATGGACTTCCTTTGTATCCTTGCTTAAATAAACCACAAGAATTTACACAAAATGCAAAATCCTCATTTTCAGGTGAGTGTACCGGAAGTCTTCCTATTTTCACATCTTCATGTAATATCACATTGAAATCCCCTCCTACCAACCATGGCAATTTCATATCACTTGCTAAGTAATACAAGTGATCCCACAATTCCAACCTCTCATTTGCTGAACATTTTGCATAAACAAATGTCATCATCACGTGCTGCCCTAGGTCATGGTGAAGCACTCTCACAGTCACCTGTTGCTCAGTATCCTCCACTAATTCCTATTCCACCACTGCATCAAAGAACAACCATATTTGCCCATTAATATTTGCATAAGCCATCTCCATATTCAACCTTCTTCTATATCTATCAATGAATCTCTTCTTTTGAAAAGGTTCCATCAATGCAACTACACAAAAGTTATGCTCCCTATTCATGTTGATCACCCTAGGAAAGGCCTGCAGTGTATTCACAGACCTTATATTCCATATTAATGTCTTGATCATCATTTAGATATAGAAGTTGCCCTCCTAGGCATAATTCTTAAAGGTTGTTGTAACTCTTTATTCTAATTCTTCTTTATTTTCTTGCCTCCTTTAGCACTAGCTGTAGGTGATAGATCCCCATCCCTAGCCACCTGTATGAAGTTTTCTTCTGTTGATTCATCATCTCCCTCATCCTCCATAGGATTTTGTCTCATTAAGTCTTCATCAATTGGTGCCACATTGTGTGTAACTAAATCATGTAGATGTTGTAGTGAAGTCTTCAGTGTAACATTAAGCTGCAGCTATATAATTTGATCATTGCCATATTCCATAGGCACTTCCTCTATTTCTCCAGATGCTCTTGCAACAATTGCGTGCTCATTATTCTTTTCACTGTTATTCTCCGATCCTACTGTATCATCCCTAACCTTCACATTATCATCAAGTTTGTTCTCCAATGCATACACTGGAACACTAGGAACAATGTTAACTATCGATGCTTCATCAGGTGACCCTAGTGTCAGGCCTGGCGTCGCCAGCCTAACGCCTGGGGTACCTGGCATTAGGCCTGGCGTCGCCAGCCTAACGCCTAGGGAGCCTGGCTTTAGGCCTGGCGTCGCCAGCCTATCGCCAGGTGGGCTGTTCACCCTCACTTTGTCTCCTGTTGTCTTTGTCATGCCTATTTGATCATCCTCCACCTCAATTACATCACTCCCTCCAGCCTTTGTTGAGTTTATCTCATCAAGGTTCTCAAGCTGCCCAGAATCTGCAAATGTTTGAGATGACATATTTTGACATGATTGGTTTGTAGTCACATTGAGTTGCCTTAGCTCCTCTTTGCTAGTTCCAAGCCTTTTATGAACCAAGTCGATTGTGGATTCCTTATTAGTCTTTTCATCAGTACTTTGATCGCTAGGAACAATAGGATTAGCCTTAGCTAAGTTCCCATTATTTTTATCTTTCAACATTTTCTCAATTGCGTCCTTCTTCACATGCTTAAGTTCTTGTTGATTATCTTCTCCCACTGGTTTAGTATTAGCATCCTTCCCAACCCTAACCCCAGAGTTAGGATTAGGGCTTGAAGCTCCAGTATTGCCTTCTTTTTCCTTCTCATAGCCCTTCTTTGACTGATTTTCCTCATGTTCCTTCTTCTTGCCATTGCTATGATCCTCACCTTTGCCTTCAGTAATTCGTAGAATAGGTTGATGAGCTTCCTCAACCTCTAATGCATTAAATTTGTTCTTGGTTGCTACTTCCTCATGCTTGGCCTTTCCTTTACCCTTGTCAGCTTCCTTACCTTGTTTGTTATCAACAATGTGACCCCTATTATCCCGTTGGTATTTGTTCTTCCTTGCTTGTATCCATTCCTGCTTGGCATGATTAGTAACCGACTTGCCAACCACCTTTCCACTTGACAGAACCTTTGTTGAATTTGCTGCCGTACCAATTGCTTGCGTACTTACCACAACTGTCTTATCCTTGCCTAGATCCTCAACATCTTTATCATATCTCTTGTGTAACTCAGGATGAATTACTCAACATTCTGCCTCACTATGCCCTTGTTTCTTGCAAGGCTTGCAATATTTAGGCATAAAATCATACTGTATCCTAATCCATTTAAACTCTTCTGGCTCAGATTCATCAGCTTCTTCAACAATCTTAATACGTTTAGGGAAATTACCTAACAAATTAACTTCCACCTTCACCTTAGCACAAATAGGTCTAGTACCATTTTGAGTTGCGAGGTCTACATGTAATGGGTAACCAACTGCACGAGCTAATGAAAACACACATTCCTTACCAAAAAAATTTGGAGGAAGTTCTGGAAAGCTAATCCAAGCTATGGCAATTGGAGTCTCTTGATCAGGCGTCCACCATGGATTCCGTTTTGTACAACGCATCTGCCACATATCTGATTGAGCCTTTAAGTAGAAAGCCGGCTTTGAAAGAAGATGAACGTAATCCTCCAATAATGACAATCTAATCAACACATGATTATCTTCAATCAAGCCTACTGAGCAATGACCCTTAATCTCACATTGAATTGGAATCACTTTACGTAATTCACCAATAACAGGCTTTCCAATGGAAAAACTTTTCCCGAAGAACCTGCGAAGTTGAAGCCCTTGTGTACGATGGATTGTTTCACTTCTTGCTTCTTTCCACTTTCATAACTGGCTCTCCATGCAGGAACTCAATAGGTTTCAATGGTAGCTAGGGTTTGCATGGGGGCATTAATGGTGGTAGGTTTTAGAAGTTTCGAATAATCCATAGGTTGGGGATTGTTGTTTGTAATCGTGGATGTCTGGGCGATCGTGGGGGAAGGTTGGGGGGCAGCACCGCCACTGGGGGTGGCCAGCCACCGGCCGGAGTGGCCATGGGAGGGCAGCGCCGGTTTAGGGTTAGCTAGAGAGCATTTTTTAGGGGATTGGACACTCATTTTTAAAAGAACAATACTTTGACATTCTCTAAAGATTCTTGTTTTATTACATACATACATACAAAAGACACATTTTTCTTGAGATCCTTATCTAACTTTTCTCCCACGATCCAAGGAGAACCCGAATACTCAAAATCTCATCAATCATTTATCATTGTCAGAAGGAATATCACACAATTTCATCCCTTTTTCGGTCATCTCTGTTACATTTATTTACACTAATTTTTGGACACGTGCGTTATACGTATATCTCATACTCATCAGTATAAATATTTTAAAAGTATTGAAGTAAGAGTGCAATAGAAGTTGAAAGGGAAAAAATACAAGCTCTAAGTTTGAATGTAAACCTATTCGACCGATATTTATTGTCATTGTAATGCACAATCATACAGAGAAAATGCTTTTGATTGAATTTGAAAAGTAATGTTCAGTTTGATTGAATTTAAATAGTAATGTTCAACTTTAATTACGATGTTCTCTTATTGTTAAGTTACCTATTGTTAATC